GGCTGCCGCACAGAGGGCGCGGCCAGCGGGCACAGCCCACCCGTCACCGTCCTCTCTGGCAAACAGCACGCAGCGGCTACGATCCTGCGTCCCCTTGCAGAGCTACACCAGAAGGTTCCAAACCTACTTCAGGCCACCCCGGTGATTTTGCCGCCTGTAGTGCTCCGTGGGCTGGCACTGCAGTCCTACACACACACCTCCAGCCAGGAGGGAGGCTGGGTGCTGGAACGAAAAGCAGGTACGAGCACAAGACCCAGCACAGCCACTCAGCTGAACAAGCAGTTGTCCAGAGTCAACGTCACCAGTGCTGCCACACCAACACTATGCTCTGTGCCTCAGAAGACACAGCAGGGCAGCTTGTCCATGCTGGATTCATGAGGTTACGCACCTAGGTGCCCACTGGCAAGATCCCTCTCCTGATGAAGTAGGAGAATGAAACAACACATTTCTACTAAAAATAGAGGTAATAAGCCCAATAAACCACATTGACCAGCATGAAAAACAAAGGGAAAAGCAATTTGGAGTAGTGGTCTACATTGCTGGGGTTCTGAATTGTGAAATAACCAATAATCCTGTGCATTTTGTTTCTCAAGACACGTTTGATTTTCTCATGAGTTTTCATGGTCAAGTCACTGCAGTTAATGTTATCGCTGGAAATCTCAACACTTGTAAAGCTGAGTTTCCTTTTATAGCTGGCAATGGAGCTGTTGAGGATGTTGGTGACAGTGACTTCTTCCATTTCCTTAGTGAGTTCATTTGCAGGCCCCTGAAAAACAAGAGCCTATAGTCAGGTTTTAGGGCTTGTCTTCGCCTGCAGAGGAAAAGTGCTTTAACCAATAAGGAGACCATAAAGATAAAGATTAAAGAATGCGACTTCACATGTGTTCATCCCAATATTCAAACAAGCTTTTCAGCTGCTGCCCATTCGTGTGCCTGAAGTCCCAGCACTGCCTGTGTTGCCACCACTGTGTTTCTAGAGGTATTCTGAGATCTTTGATCAAGTCTCACTGAGCAACCCAACATCCTTCTTCTACAAGACATCCATCTATTCACATCTACACAGTAACTGAACAGCTGGGGAACAGTATTGAGGTGGGAAACTGCTTTTCCCTCTGATAGGATTTGGACCCTTGAGGAACACTGGACCACAATTACACTGGACTATTTAATTTCTTGCACTAAAGCGGAGGACACTGAACAATTCACTGTCTCTCTCCACCTCTGCAGAACACCAGGGACTGATGATTGATACTGTCTTCTAGGAAGGGCAAAGGGTTCAAGCTTTGCTCTGCTAGAGGACATGACCTTCCAGGTCAGTGTACTAGTCAGAGTTATTCCACAGAAGAGCAAAGAGATGTGTTATACAGGCTGCTCTCTGGCAGGAGTAGAGGTGCTCTGTGCTGGCAAGTGACCTCAGCACAGGGCCACAGACCCAGTTCCAGCAGGAGGCCAAAGTGGCTTCCTGAACGTGGTCCTGTGAAACTGCGATGACTGGCAGCTGAGGCTGCTGCACTTTCAGCTGCTGTGCAGAAGTGTCTTAGGGACACAGCCATCTAGTGCTAGTCATGCGTTTGCTGCACATTAAAATTTAGATTTAGTGGTAATTACAAGAAGCAGTTGTTACTGTATCCTCACCAGGAAGACCACTTGTCTTAGTTAATGGAAGACTACTGTCACTACAAGCTAACTAGCCTTATTAAGCCAGACCAGGCTTTACCTCTTGAGGTGATTTAGCTGCACACTTTTGTGATGAGCTGTAGTGAGCCACTGCATATTCCACAAGGGCACCAAAGATGAAGCTGAAGCAGATGCCAAGGTAAACATCAATGGCCTTGATGAAACAGTTGGTTTTTGAAAGTGAACTTCGTGAGCCGATCATCAGAGTTGTCATGGAGAGCACCGTCGTTACTCCTTGGAAAGCAAAAGAGGAAAGACTTTCCCTTGTGAACGCTGTGGAAGAGGCTTGGCCCATTCTGCACATGTTATCACTCCCTATTGCTAGCCAGACAAAGCACATAACTTCTTAACAAATCCAGATCATCCATCAGCTTAAATGCTTTTGTAGAATTAGCTACTGGCTTCACACAGGCTCTCCCTGCCTTTGACAGCTTGGCTCCAACAGGCTCTTTGCTGTCTTATTTTTCTTGCTCTCAGTAAAAAAAAATTACTTACTCCACCCCCTCCAAAGCCCATGACAAAGAGCATGTGCTCTATCCTCTACACACTGCCATGAGTCTACCAGGAGCCCTGGCTGTGCTCAGCCCTTCAGGTGGGCAAGTGTGACAGCCACAGCCTATCTTCCATGCTTCGTGCTGCTAACCTGGCTCTGCCACAAGAAAAAGCAGAATGTGAGCAGACCATTTATCGAGCAGAGAGCTCAAGAAAACTACTATCTACCCAGCGTCCAGGGGCTCTGCTGCCTGCTTAAATCTTCTCCCTTCCTCGGGCACTAACTCACCAATGCAGGTTCTTGCAGGCACTGAATCCAATGTGATCCAAAAAGAAACCCAGGACAGCATGACAAGCAGCGTGGAGGGCACATAGGTCTCCAAAATGAAGTAAAGGACATTTCTTCTCAGCTCAAACTGCAGTATCAGTCGTGGGTAACTGCCTGTTCACGAAAGGAGGAACAAGTGAACATGAGTTTCCCACAGACACTGGAACTGAAGCTGGGACAGCCCAGCACCAGCTCTTCAGCTGAAGGAGGCCAGCTGAGCTGCCCTGAAATCCTGGGAGACACATTACTTACATGAGCTCGACTTCGTGCCTCAGAGGCCTTGCTTACCTAACATGTCCGACACAATAGAACACCTACACAGCATTATTGGACAGGAGACTTCTGAACTAATGTGTGACTTGTAAAGGGGCTCCTGAACTTGAGACACTGTTCTAAAAGTTTCCACTGTGGCTTAACCTGGAGTAGAGAAGGGCTGAGGCTTTCATCTGCTCTCTCGTACTCAGCACAGCACGCTTTTCCCAAGAGCTGCTGTGAAGGGGCCCTGCCAAGTTCAGGCTTAGCTGAAAAACGACTTTTCCTCTCCATTTCAGCAAATTCACGCCCCAAAGCATCCCCACATCTTATTGTCACAGGGAATTAGACCCCCTGTATTCATTAGTAATTTGCCATTTTTAATAACTGTGCCTTTTTATGCTCAAAAAAACTCAGACAATTTTTTGAAATGAATTTGCCATCATACTGGTGAAAGGGTTCTGGGGCTGGATTGCTACTATTTTTAGGTGAGATTTCTGCTGTTGAAACAGTAGCTCCCTTTGAAATCCAGAAACAAACCACATGTTGTTTGTGGGCTGTGTACACTCAGTAAACAACAAAACACTTATTTTTAAAACCTGGTCATTCTAAGGAAGTTTTGCCCCCTTTCAGTGTCTGTGATTGGAGAGAAGAGTATTTACATGGATAATGAAAAAGACATTGAATTCTGATGTACAAAGGGATCTTACTCCATTGTGATAGAATTGTAATTTACAAACAAAAGTATATTTTAATTTTACTCTCAGTTACTGTGAACATGGATCTCTACAGTATTTATAGTCTGCACACATAGGAGGAAGGGAGAGAGTTTCTTCAGGTATGTTCGAAGAAAAGAAATGGAGAATTAAAAAAGTAATTGAAAATCTGTCAGATGAATGTAGTATATCACACACCCACTCTCCCCCATCTTTCCATGGATTTCCATCTTACAGATCACACTGGTTGCAAACACTTGGATTTCACCATCTTTCTGTGCATCTGTTTTTGTGAGATTAAGATTTGGTAAAGACTTGACTGGTTCAGGCTTCTGTCAAAAGCTCCTGGCCCATAGAAGGGAAGGGGAAATACTCGAGAACTATTCCTGCGTTTCTCTTTCACCGATTTACCCGTTTCCTGCTGTGACTTGGAGACCAAGGTGTAGTAATGTTCCACCGTGTACTGAGAGAGCCGCAACTTTTCTATGCCACGGACAGAGTCGTTTCCTCTCAGCCAGCTGAAGATGACATCGTTTTCATCGTATCCCCCTATGGAGAACGGAAAGACCCATATTACCACGGCTTAGCCATTGCCCTGCTCTGTCTCCTGAGGGGGAACAGGAACACGATCCAGGCGTTGCAGGCTGGACAAAGCCCTCTGAACTGTGTCATGCTATGGGTGGATGTTGGCTGTTCTGTCACTGCTTTACTTCCAGGCTGCTGGTTCAGATTCCAACAGGAACACACGGCACTGTGAACGACGCACGACATGCAGGGCTGCTGAGCACCTACTGCAATCAGTTACGTGGGGTGCTTCTACTTTAAAATATTTTAACTTTTAAAATAATATATTCCCGTCATCTACAGATTGATTACATGCAGCAAGATAAAACTTCTGCAACAATCAACTCTTCAAACATAGTCTCTTCAGTCATGGGAGGAGAGCAGGAGAAATGTAGTGGTTAAAAAAGGAGAGAATTTGCCTCTTACCAGGCAGCAGAAGCACATTTCAGTGAATCGCCTGTTCAAAGTGCTTAAAAATACCAGAAAAGGTGTTTTTTGTTAGCAAAGAGCTATGTGGTTATGAAACAGGCTCTTCTCACGGGGGGGTGTGTTGTCTAGAAAACTTGCTCATAAAAGCTGCTTTTTCTACAAATCATTCCTTCTATCGCAAAAGTTTGAAGTTACTGAGGACAAATAAATACATCCAACATTTAGATAACACTGAATTCCTGCCTCCAAACAGTGTGACAGATGAGATCAACAATACTAGCAGTAATCAGTAAACTCCTATATGCCAGCTGACTAATTGCCCCCAGAAATGCAAATGGTGGCGTAACATGACCTCGGGTTGGACTGAGGAATACCTCAGCCTGAGGGATAAAGCTTGTACTGAGTCACCTGCCTGCCATCCGCTTCAAAATTTTCACTTAATTTAGGAAACAGGCCTATCATTCTCACTAATTTGATTCTTTTATTAAGTGCCCTTCTTTAAGAAATTAAGTAGGGATGCTTTGATTTGTGTAATAACCTGTTTGTCCTGGTAGGAGAAATAAGCAGTTGCAGCTCTATTTTTATCTAATTGTGTTTACTTATTAGACACAAATTACCAGGACTTGAGTATGATGAACTTCTAAATTAGGTGTCCAGGGTATGAATCCTTGTGTAGAGCCCTAAGCACGTGACTTTTCAAAGTTTCTAAGCAGTTTTATGAATTGTGGTTACTCAGGATGATTTTATAATAAATGATAGATTGTTGTTAATTCATCTGGCATATAAGTAGCATTATTTCCGGGCACTCATCCTAATGAAATCTCCAGTGGGCAATGTGCATGTAATTTCATTGGAATTATACAGCAACTGAGCATGATGTAGGACCCAATCACTTCTAAAACTGGCCCAAACAAGCTATGCTTTAGCAGAAGAGGCCAATCATTATTATTTCAGGAGCTATTCTTTGTAATAAAGTTAACCATGGTGAACTAATACGATTTTAATGTGAAAATAATATGTGCTTCCCTCGGTGCTTCAAGCTGCAACCCCAGAAGTTAAAATCTGGTCTTTTCAGGATTGAGATTTTAGATGTTCCTCTCTGTGACATGAAGTGGGATACGGTGGCTTGCTTGTTGTGGCGCTTCACAGCAAGGGACCAGCAGCACTGCTCTTGCTGAGCTCCCGGGTAAAAGCCCTGTAGTGTCCTAAATTTTCCTGGAGCCTTTCCCAGCCAGCCTTGCCATAGATGAGCTTTTAGTTTAACCGAGAGCAGAACTCAATGACTAGTCCTTTTCTTGAGTCTTCCAAGGCCAAGACCCCTCCTGCCGACGAGGGTCACATCTGCCTCAGTGTAAGAGAGAGCCCTCATGGAGCAGCATATACCGCAAAGCTGGGCTGGGCCTTAGTTTCAGTTCATGAGGCTTGTTGAAAGGCAAGTTCTACTCGTATTCCAGTAAGAGCCACCTTTCACACTGTCTGGTTACAGTGGAGGTTTGGGGGGTGTGACAGGTGGTAGACACCTCAAAATGTGCAAAGTTGCTCCCTGCTGTACTCCATCATGTGCTCCCTACCCCACATGTTAAGTTTTGAGAAGCTATGTGTGCTAAAGGGCTTGAATTCAGAAAACTAGCCATTATTACTTCATCTTTTTGTGCAAAACTGAAGCTTCTACACTTTGATAAAAATACTATTGATTACTACTCTTTTTACATAAATGGCACAGTGACAGGAATCCTCTAAACCATGGATTACAATGCAAGCATCTGAAGAATGATGAAGCAAAGTTTTCTTTTGGACATTAGTATTTGCAGGAATAAAAGTCTACTCCAGAAGGCCACTGTGATGAATCCAAATATAAAAATGTGTAGCTACACATGAATACACAAATTTAAAGTATTTTTTTTCTAGAATGTTATACTTACAGCTTTCTAGCTGCAGTTTGCATGTTTGTGTGTCCATAGGATATTTTGACAGGTCCATGTTACAAGCAACAGTAGTAGTGATTCTGTAGGAAGAGAGAGAATTCCAAAAGTTGCCATAAAAGCACTTAAGGAAACATCTCTAGTTTTCAGAGAGAGCTAGACCTGCTCTGTCATTTAGATAATTTTGACCTGTGACATGAATGAGCTGATATGATCAGAGAAAACCTTCCTTAAGAAGATATGCTCTTTTCAGCCACACTGATGAAAACATACACAAAGGAGGGGAGATTTGCTTTGCTGCGGGGGGAGATTTATCATAGAGTCATATTGTCCAGTCCTACGGTTTGCACACCTTAAGAAGTCACCACTTGTCACCTGAGGCACAGTAACTAACTGCCCACGTACCCTGGCTTGCTCTGACGTGGAGTGTGACTGAGTTTCACTCTGCAGCTGAGGTACTGGGACACGATTGCTGCGAGCTGAGAGGAGAGCACACGGCGTGAGCTGCCAACGAGATCACAGCGCATGTTTCTGCAGCACGCCTACAATATGGGTTTGCTAAAAGGCCAAAATGGTGGCTACAAGGCACAGGGCAAGCAAATAGCTTCCCACTGTTTGTGAAGGTTTTATCACTAGAATGTCCTCCTTCCATTCCTTCCCTGCCTCCATCTGATCCTACTTGTGTGACACCTCAACTTGTGAGCTTTCTGAGCAGGCACCATGCTCAGGACACAGCCCATCCCATGACAGGCATTTCCAAGTGGCCAGAACAGGGGAATGGATCACAAGAGTATGGTCACAGTTGGCTTGTTGACCCCAGACCTGTTACCTGTCACAGCTGGTATCTGTTCCTGTTCAGCATAATTCTGGAAAATTATTATTATTATCTGGAAGATAATTCTGGAAAACTATTCTGAACCATCATCATCAGCAAAACCAAAGGCTGACTCACCTCAAGGCGTACAAGATCGTGCCGTTAGAGAACAATCGTATGAGGCGGTTCCCCACAGTGACGTCGTGCAGGAAGGACTTCTTTGACTCCACAATGTAGGTGTCTGGTACCCAGAGCAATTCCACTAGGCGGGCATCTAGCGTGAAGCTCTGGTTGCCGTGAAAGACCAGCCGGGGGTCTGTCCAGCGCTGCCGCAAGTATATAGTAGCTGTGTAATCCTGGGAAAGAGAGGAGAACCGGTGAGGGTGCCCATCCTGGACACCCACACGGCATCTGCTCTATCTGCTGCATGCAAACAGAGGCAGAACACACATTGTTCAACCTATCAAAGCTCAGCTTCAAATGCACGCAGTAAATCTGATAAAACCATAGCGAAAATTTATTTTCTGTATTACATTTCTCATACACTTAAACTCTAAGGTGTAGTGTTTGAGGACTAAATATTATTCTTATAGTACCTTTTTTTTAACATGCAATTATTGTAATTGGTATTTTTGTGTCCATTTGGCATTTAAGAAAACAGATGGGAAGTGCACGCTTGAGGCCACTCAGCCAGCCATTAACACTAAAAGTCATTGTCTAGAGCTACAAGACTACAGACATACTAGATCCCTGATCGAAAGAGACACTGGCAGCTTGGAGAGAAAAGGTAAGCAAATCCAACCTGTTATTTCACTGAGGTCTTTAGAAAAACAACAAACAAATGAAAACCCAAAAGTTGTAGCATCTTTTTTAATCAGAGTTTTGAATCTAAGGGCACTAGGATTGACTTGAGTTTAGCCTGCCAAAATCTACCTGCAGTGACTGGACTATTTTCACAGTGCTCCATCATAAAAGAACAGGCAGCAGCTGAAGAATTGTCTTCAGCTCTGAAGATCATTCTTTACTGGATGTTCTGGATGGCTACTGGGTGCTGTTGTACCATTTCACTTCCTTCCCTACGGGTGAAGTAAATGCAGCCAGTAGCGGCTTTTACTTTCACAGACAGGCTGCTACTGGTGGTGGTGTTAACAGCGCGAAGCCACCGATTCAACACAGATCTGCTGCCTGTCTGTGGAGGCTGAAGCAGTTCTGCTTCATTCAGTCTATAACTTCTCAAACGCTTTCAGAGAAAAGCTCTAGGTAAGTAGTGGGTATCAGCATTAGCTTTTACAGCTTTTAAAATTTTACACTCAGCGTGTGACAGGAGAAAGACCACGTCAAATAATGTACCGCTAGTGCTTTCAGTGCAGCCAGCTGTAATAGGGACAGAAGTGAAGAATCCTGGGTTCATTTTCCGGCTTTTACTGAGGCAGAGTAAGCCTCTGCAGTGTTTTCCATGAACAATTTAGGTGCACCAAGAGGAAAAACTCCAGAACAGGAGGCCCTTTACAAGGCCCTTTATTAAGACAGAAGTATGTGAATAATTGATTTTGTTCCTTCTGCCCCCCCCAAAATTAAAAGCTTTAGACAAGTTACAATATTTTATTTACTGAACTTGTTTAATTTTTTTGGAGGGAGAGGGAAAAAAAAAAAAGTCAGCGATGTTCTTGAAAATGCTGCCATTAAGTGTTGAAATTGTTCCTGACTGAAATCCTGACTGCTTGGACTGAAACTATTTGCTGAATTTAGTCAAGTTGCCCATAGTTTTAGTCAACCTGAACCAGGCACTCTCAGTGGTCAGTGTTTTAAATCCAGCTGTTATCAGAAGTGGTAGGAACCAGACTTATCAGTGGTAGGAAGATATTATCTGTAATTCGAAAAGTATTTTTTTTGTTTGTGGTTTTTTAATTATTATTAATTTTTATTTTTCTTGGGATGGCCAATCCTTTGAGCCTCAGACTGTGTCGCGGCTCAAAACCTTATTTCTCCTCCTTGAGGAGAGCCACAGCATGTCTAACAGAGGCCACCCCTGCCATACACAGAGGAAAGGTAACGGAAATGCTTCACGGGATTGAGTTTTTTAATTTCCAATGGGTCTGAGTTCCAAGAGGTGCTGAGTTTTTGCCCAGTAGGACCTTTGGAGCCATCTCTATTTACTTACATGTTACTATGGCACCTACATAGTCTGCAGTCATAAACGAGCCCTGTTCTCATCACAGCTTTGAAAGCTGTCAGCAGACACAGAAAACCAACTCCTGTGGAATACGAGTTTCTGTGCTGAACGCACAGGAAGGCATCACAAGTGTCTCAGGCAGGGCCTACTCTCATCTCTTACCGAACAAAAATTCTTTCACTTACCATGTCGCTCTCGGATATACTAGAAATACTTGCAACATCCAGACTCATGGCAATTTGAACCGGTTCCCCTGCGGAGGGAGAGAAAGGCTTCAGCAGAGGGGAGCGTGAGGCCCTGGAGAGAAGTGCCGCGGGCCCCGCTCACAGCTCCCACACTGGCTCTGGAACCACGGGAGCCCAAAGGGCCAGACGGCCACAGGGCCTGGGGCTTGCAGATGGCATCACGAGCCGAAATGAAGTTGTCACTGTTGGGGAGCCGGACTTCCCTCCACGGTGGTGGCAAACGCCCACCAGCGCTAGCTGTGGAGACCAGCGGTTTAGAGCAGCGGCGTTTCAGAGGCATTTGCGAGGGCAAGTGGCCATGGCCAGCGTGTCCCTCGCTACCCAGCGCAGGGGCCGGAGCGGTGGCCTCTGGCCAGAGCGTTCTCCATGCCCGGCTCTGCTCCAGCCTCCCGCTGCTCGGAGGAAGCGCTGAGGGGCAGAGAAACTCCGGGATCCCCGGGACCGTGCACCGCCTTAAAAACCACAAGGGCAACAGCCTGCGCCTCCGCGCGTTTATTCTATTACCGCTCCATTCACAAGCAAATGTTTAGCACTTTAAACGCCGAGTGTGGGTAGCCCGGTTTTCTAGCGCTACCTCTTAGAAGGCACCACGAGAGGGCAGCTCCTCCCCAGGAACGGCAGAACTCGG